ACTAACGATCATGGTACACTGTTTTCTCCAATTTGGGGGTCATTTTTGACCATTTGCTGTTCAGGAGAGGTGAAGACATCAATATCAGCTTGTCTTGTAGGCTCATAGACTTGTCGGAAGAGACCCAAAGAGTCATCACTGGCAATGCAGGCATCCCAGTTTCTCCTTTTTTCAACATTTCCGAATCTATTTACCCTTTTTTAAAAAAGGTACTGGTCCTCATGAAAAATGATCAGCATGTTAAGGCAAATTTATTCCAATATGTGCACTTTCCCCATGTGATTTCCCTTAATAGAATACTTTTCTAAAACATTATTTTCACTGATAGATTTTGTGTATGTGTGTGTGTGTGTGCGCGCGCACACACACACACACACACACACACACTTATTAGGGAAACGATCACCCCCCCCCAAAAAAAAGCATCTCCATGCTTCCCCCTGCATATGCATTTTTGAACACGTTGCTTCGTCAGAGGCCTGCGTTGCAAAATTCAGAGAATTCCGAATTTTAAAGGGTGGCCATGATTCGCTCTGCAGGGCATTTTGGGAAAAGCAAATTCAGATAGGTTCACCTTTAAACACAAACCAAAGTGAACCTCTCCCCCTTCATTGCAAATAGCGCCAATCCCAGCTGAGGGATCTCAGCCGGCCTTCGCCGCCACCACGGCTAAGCCCTTTTCAGCCCTTCAACATCAACAATGCCTTTGTTTCTTTCCCATGAGTTGGCCACTCTGGGTGAGCTTAAGGGGGTGGGATGGAACTGGATTACTCCCCGTGAAAGAGGATCAAGCTTGCCTGGCTGAGTGCCGCAATGCTAACCTCATTGGAACGTCACCGGTTCCTTTGCTAATTGGGACGGTGATTTGGTGCGGAAGGTTTTAGCTGGGGGAAAACAGCCGTGCGGCTGTAGAAAACACACTCAGCAGTTACAAAAGGGAATTTGGGGGCTTAGAGGCCAGAAGGGAGAATTGTTTTTTCTCTCTCCATGTAACACAGCCGTTCCCAAACGTTTTAGGGCCTCCCCCCACCTTGATTCCACAAACTCTTCCCCAGTGCCCATTACCCTGCCCTATACAAAGCATTATTCAGAATAACGGTTTGCACGACCCAGTAAGGGGAAAATACTAATACACACACACAAAAACTGAAACAGCAACAACTAGTTGCACATTTATTCAAAATCCAGTGGAAACTATTTGGTTTCATTAGTTCGGCAAAAGGGGGATTTGATCCAGTGGTACCAGCCTCGAAAGATTCCATCAACAGTGTCTCCGAAAAATCTTACACATCACTTGGCAAGACAGGCGGAGTAATACCAGGGTACTGGAAGAAGCAAAGATCACCAGTGTTGAAGCAATGATTCTTCAACAGCAACTTCATTGGACTGGTCTTGTTGTGCAGGTGCCTGATGATCGTCTTCCAAAGCAACTACGCTATTCCGAACTTAAAAATGGAAAGTGTAATGCTGGTGGTCAACAAAAGAGGTTTAAAGACTGTCTCAAGGCAAATCTTAAAAAATGTAGTATAAACACTGACAACTGGGAAACACTGGCCTGTGAGTGCTCCAGTTGGAGAACAGCCTTTACCAAAGGTGTCATGGGCTTTGAAGACACTCGAACTCAGGACACAAGGGAGAAACGTGCTAAGAGGAAGGCACGCTTGGCAAATCCACACTGTGATCAACTCCCACCCAGAAACCAATGTCCCCACTGTGGAAGGACGTGTGGGTCCAGAATTGGCCTCCACAGTCACTTACGGACTCATGGTTGAAACCGTGTTTATGGAAGACAATCTTACTCGGCTATGAGTGATCGCCAAAGAATAAGGACCAGCTTTGCAAAGTCTGAGTCATTTATCCCTCCAATGCCCCCTCCTTGCCTCGTGGCACCCTCTGGGTGATCCCACCCACCCTCAGGAAGCACCACCTCTTGCTTTGGGAACCCCTGATTTAATCTATTTACATCCCGCCTTTTCCCCAAGTTGGGATCCATATTGTTGTTGTTTAGTCGTTTAGTCGTGCCCAACTCTTCGTGACCCCGTGGACCAGAGCACACAAGGCATTCCTATCTTCCACTGCCTTCCACTGTCAAAAGCTGGTAGCTTCGAGAACACTGTCCCACCATCTCGTCCTCTGTCATCCCCTTCTCCTTGTGCCCTCCATCTTTCCCAACATCAGGGTCTTTTCCAGGGAGTCTTCTCTTCTCATGAGGTGGCCAAAGTCTTGGAGCCTCAGCTTCAGGATCTGTCCTTCCAGTGAGCACTCAGGGCTGATATCCTTCAGAATGGAGAGGTTGGATCTTCTTGCAGTCCATGGGACTCTCAAGTCTCCCACACAATTCAAAAGCATCCATTCTTTGGCGATCAGCCTTCTTTATGGTCCAGCGCTCACTTCCATACATCACTACTGGGAAAACCAGAGCTTGAACTATACGGACCTTTGTCGGCAAGGTGATGTCTCTGCTTTTTAAGATGCTGTCTTGGGATCCATATCGAAGCATATAGTTGTAGAGTTGGGAGGGACCCCTGAGCATCTGCAGTGCAGGAATGTGCAGCTGTCCAGTACAGGGATCGAACCCATGACCTTGACATTACCAGCACCATGCTCTAACCAACAGAGCTATCCATCATAAGAAGGCAGCTTACAACATTTAACGGCAGCGTTATAAAATGCAAGGCGACAAAAGCAAACTTGCTCAAAGCAGCCCTTAAAACACATCAGAGCACACTGAGCCCCTGCAATTTCCACTAGTGGCCAAAATTGTTGGGGAAAGTGCATTTTTGATGTTTGATTGCCCATAACACCACTTTTTTTTTTGGAGCGATGCCATAAAATTATATATCAATGGAAAGATAATTTAATGGAGAATGTAATGCAACGATGTTCATTCAATTATCTGCATTCTATCAAATGTTATGGCCGATTAACCAGAAAAGGGAAGCACAAAGCTTGGAGAGGACGTGTTGCAGTGGGGGCCGACAAGACACTCCAAAGTTGTGGGGGCGGGCTAATTGATCATTGGCCACTGTTGTGATTGGGCTTCCCTTGTTGTTGGGATGAAGTTAATGTTGCCATTCTGTGATTGACAGCCAGAAATGTTAAAACTCCCTGCACGAGGCATAGAGCTTCCTCTTTGCTCTATGCATCGGATTGCCCGTCCCCCATCCCGTCCCCCCATATTTAGGGTTGTTCGCTTTGACCTTGCTATGCCTGTCATGGGGTCGTCTGCTCTTGGGGCAGGGGCCCGGCAGGAATTTTGTCCATTTGGCTGATTGGCTGGTGCCATTTGGTTTTTGCCTACTGCGTAGCAAATCGTCACAGCTTGTAAGGTTGTGGTTAGGCATTGGTTTATGGTTTGGTTGGTTGAGGGGCATGGACTGGCTGTGCCTGCCCCTCTAATGCTGCTGCTGCAAGGGATTCCGTTAAAGGAATACAGGGGCTCATTATTGCTTTTATCTGAAACCTGTCAAGGGGCTAGGGCCACGCAAGAGCGCCTGGTTGCATTTGGGGAAGGCTGAGGGCAGGTTCCCTGCTCCGTCGCTATCCTCAAATGTATTCCCCTTTTCTGACTCTCGCAGGCTTGCGAAATGTCAGTCTGTCCCCACTGGGGGCAGATAGTCGCAACCAATGCCTAAGCAACCACTCACATTTTTTGTATTTTAATAAGTTGTGGCCAAAAATGATGCCCAAAACCTTAAACAAAAATTCTGTGTAATGTGTGAGTTATGTGGGGTGGCCTGGGGACCTCGACTCGCAACTTGCTGAGGCAGATATGCAGTACCTTTCCTTCATTTGAATGTAGCCAATGCGCATGAGTGTTTGCCCAGACAGCATCATCATCTGAACCTTCGTTTCCAAAGGCCTGTCTGAGCAGGAAGGCGTCAGCCTGCCAGCGGAAGGATAACAAAGAGGGAGCCAGTCTAGACTTTCCCGGGAAGGAATTCCACAGTCTGGGAGCTGCCACAGAAAAGGCCCTGTCTCTTGTCACCACCAACTGGGCCTCTGATGCTGAGGAGATGAAGGGAACAGGAGCAGACCCTGGTAATATGCCTCCGCGTGTGAGGCCACTTCACAACCTCCCACCAGCCCTTGCAGCGCTGGCTTAAGCCAGGTAAACAAGGCGTCGAGTTTTGGGAAGGAATTGCAAGGCTCTGGCAGTCTGGTAATGGCTTGCCCAGCTTTAGGGAAGGGGGGAGAGGACTCTAGGACCCTATCAGACCCTCCTTCCAGAAGCTGGGCAAACACCTACTAAATAATAATAATAAATTTTGTTTATACCCTGCCCTCCCCAGCCAAGACCGGGCTCAGGGCGGCTAACACCAGGTATAAAAACAAATTAATTGAAATACAACTTAAAAACAAGATTAAAATACAACCTCAAAATATTAAAACGCAGCCTCATTTCAATGGAAAGCTTTTTGGGAATAAAAACATCAGGTCTTCACCAAGGCTAACTAAGGCTAAATCCATCTTTGCAAGGTAATCACCAGGGATCTTAACACCCCGGTTGGTTTGCCTAGGGAGAAGCAATCTTTCAGGTTATTTGCCTGCATGAAACAAGCTTAATTATTTACTCTCTCTTAATTTATTGCATATGTGTTGCATTTATTTCATTTGCAATGTTCATAGTTGTCTCCATTTGCAACAAGCCTGCAGGAAAGGTTAGGGCAAGAGTGAGCGACTGCCCCACTGGTCACTCAACCAGCTTCATGGCAGAGTGGGGGATTCAAACCCTGGTCTCCCAGGTCCCCCTCTAACCGCTACACCACGCTGATGCCATAGGGAAAGAAGGCGGCTCAGCAAAGACCTTCTGTGCATGCTCAGGAGCTTATTGTCAGACTACGCAGCCTGGCATTGCTTCCTTGGTGCTGGCTGCAACTCGGGGAGGGGGCCTCCTCGAACGTGGCGCTGTGGCAAACTTACCACTGGCAGCAAATGAATGTGTTTGAAATTCTGGAAAGCAAATTCAGACATGGGGAGGACAAACAGCCTCTCCTTACCTTCGTATGTCCAGTGGGATCCTGCAAAGGGAGAAGAGAAGTGGCGAGTCAGTGTTGCTAAATCTTAGCATCGTCAGCAATAATTACCATGTATACGTTCTGAGGACGCGGGTGGCGCTGTGGGCTAAACCACAGAGCTGCACACCGAAACGCTGTTTACCTTCCCGCCAGAGCGGTACCTATTTATCTACTTGTACTTTGATGTGCTTTCAAACTGCTAGTTGGCAGGATCTGGGACCAGGCAACGGGAGCTCACCCCGTCGTGGGGATTCGAACCACCGACCTTCTGATAGGCAAGTCCTAGGCTCTGTGGTTTAACCCACAGCGCCACCCGCGTCCCATAATCTGAGGTAGACTGCATCTGATCCTGAGGTTCCATCTTGTCCTGTTAAGACACCTTTTGACAGCCGCAACTGCTCTCTCACGCACACCCCCGTCATCTCATGACATAATCCCATGTGGCATTTTGAAAAGTTTATTGGCCAGTACCACAGCCTTGCCCTCAGAGAGGTTTTGCCCTTTTAAGCTGGCTCCTTTCATGTGTTTTGTTTTTTTAAAAAGACGAAGGAGGTTTTACAAAAGGTCATTCCATCCCCAGGGAACGTTTGAGAGTCGCCTCAAACACCGAATCTAAAAAGCCCATCTCCAATTACACTTCGGGAAAGCCGGTGGATGCTTTTAAATTTATTTGTAGCCGAAATATACATATCTTTACGTATACATGAATGCATGTATGTAGAGAGAGGGATATGTTAAATCACACCTGGGACCTAAAAGTGGTGAGCAGTCAGCTGCAACAGAAGAAACCTGAGTTGAAGATGAAAAGCGAATTGGAATTTCGTTCCATGCCTGAAAAGGAAGCCAGTCTCTTCCCAGGGATCTGATTTGCAGGAGAGTTTATCTCCGGCCGCTGCTAAATTTACCTCGGTCGCGTGAACTTGGAAAAAAGTGGGGGAGAAGTCTTCCTTCCCTCCCCAATAGCTTGGAAGAAGTTAGGGCTACAAGACGGGAGATTTCTGCAAGAGGAAATTCCGACGAAAGAAGAATGGCAGACAAAATTAATGGACTACGCAGAATTAGATAAAATGGCAGGAAGGATTCGAAACCTGCGGGACCAGAGATTCACAGAAGATTGGAAGAAATATACGAACTATTTGAAGAGCAACTGTAATCAACAAGTTACGCTAGCAGGACTACAAGAAGTTTTGTAAGGAGGGATATATGAAACATTGTAAAGTAGAGAAAGAATAGAGGTATTTGTTATGAGATTTGAATGTAATAGTTAAAGTAAGAAATGTAAATTAAGTGAATAGATTGGAAAATGTTTAGATGTGGTTGATGGGAGTCAAAAAAATTGTATAAGGTACAAAAGTATGTTTAATTATTGTTGAAAATGTTGTGTTTATATAAATTTATATAAAAAGAAAAAAGAAAAAAAAGGAGATTCTGATTCAATACTTGGAAGAAATTTCTGCCGGAAAAAGCGATTTGACAGTGGAACCGACTCCCTCAAGAAGAAGCAGGAACTTCCTACATTGGAAGACAGGCAGATAAAGATGGCAGAATATGTGGAGATGGCAAAGCTGATGGGGAAGATCAGAAATCAGCAAGGCGAACTGTTTCAAAAGGACTGGAGCAAATTTATATTCTATATGAAAGAAAATTGTAAACATTTGAAAATGTTTGTAGGTTTGAATTGAAATGCTTTGTAATGTGAAAATAAGGAACTGATTTACATATAAGGAGGTAATCTTTATAAAAAGAAGAAGTTTTAAGGTAAAAAAGTGGTTATAGAAACGCGAGAATTCGGTAAAAGATGTGTGGAAGTCAGAAAGAGGAAGGGAAGGAAGTCAATGCTCTGTTTGAGCAATGCTTTATGTCATAGATTTGTGCAATGAGATGTAATTAAATATGAAAACTCAATAAAAAACATTTTTTTAAAAAAATAGAGGTGGCGGACTCCTTCCCTCCTTGGAGGTTTTTAAGCAGAGGCTGGAGGGCCAACTGTCATGGATGCTTTAGCTGAGATTCCTGCATTCCAGGGGGTTGGACTAGATGACCCCCAGGTGTCCCAATTCTACAATTCTTTGATTCTATTTCTGTGACCTTGTATTCAAATCTTTTCTGTCATAGCATAAGAATGCCAACCGAACCATAGAACTATAGAGGTGGAACGTCATTCGTCCAACCCCCTGCAATGCAGGAATCGCAGCGGAAGAACCCTGAATGTTTTAAAAACATTTGGCCTCCGACAGTGGAAGGAGGCTGTAGCCAATGCGGCCGGTGATTGCTCCAGCCAGAGCAACCACAGCCAAGAAGAGCCTTGCGCCACCTGAAAGCTCGCACATTCACATGCCTCAAACTCGCCTTGCCGGTTGCGTGAATCCCCAGCTTTGCTGCCTTTGCTTTCAGCCTGAAACTGCCAAACTACCAGGAAGTTTGAATCTATTAATCTAGGCCCAAATCAAGACAACAGGTTTTTTCCCTCCCACCTCTAACAGATGGACATTAACAGGATGGTTATGTTAGCGCCAATATCCGCTACTGTAAATGGTCACTCTGCATACCTTGTGAGCATTTGAGCTTTATAGGGGATATATATATATATATATATATATATATAGGCTACTTTTAAAATGAGGCTGCATTTTAAATTGCATTTTAACGTGTATTTTAAATTGGTCCCGTTCCCCCATTATGATTTTATTGGTGTTAGCCGCCCTGAGCCCAGCTCTGGCCGGGGAGGGTGGGGTATAAATAAAAATTTTATGTTATTATCATCATCATCATCATCATCATCAACAGGCTGTGTTTGGGGGGGGGGTTATCTAGCCTAGCTATTTACATTTCCTCTCCCTTTCTCTACACCCACGTGCTATGTGTATAAATGCCCGCCAACATGATGAAGTCCACTCCTTTACTCCATAAGACCATAAGACGAGTCTCCTGGATCAGGCCAATGGCCCATCTAGTCCAGCGTCTCACGCTGGCCAAATGACCCTCAAAGAACCTAAGAATCAAGATAGACTGCCTCTGGACCTGGAGGTTCCATAAGGACGTCAGAAGAGCCAATGGCTTCCGTCGCACGTTCCTAAAAGACTTCAATGCGGGCACCAGGCTGAATTTTGTCATGAGAACATAAAAAGAGCTTGAGGGGATAAGGGCAATGGTCCATCTCTCCATCAGGCAAGGAAGCTCCCTGCGGCTGCTGAGTCAGTGTCCGGGACGCTGCCATGGGCTGGGCAGGGGCCAGAAAGCTGAGATTGGGTCTTGATAGACAAAGGGAGCTGGGAAGTTATTTTTTGAGGGATTTCTTGTGAAAATAAGAAGAGCCCGCTGGATCCGGCACGCCCAGTCCAGCACCCTGGTCTGACAGATGCATGTGGGAAAACCAGCAAACAGGATACTGAAACTGAGATTCAGAACCGTTGTTCCCTCACAGCAGAGGAGGAAAAACAAAAAAAATCCTTCCAGTAGCACCTTAAAGACCAACTAAGTTAGTTCTTGGTATGAGCTTTCGTGTGCATGCACACTTCTTCAGATGAGGAGGAAGTTGATCGGGCGTCTGGGGTGGTGCGCGTGCCCTGCACCCAGAGGCAGGGATAATAATAATAATAATAATAATAATAATAATAATAATAATAATAATAATAATAATAATAATTTATTATTTATATCCCGCCCACCTGGCTGGGTTTCCCCAGCCACTCTGGGAGGCTTCCAACAGAATATTAAAATACCGTAATACATCAAACATTAAAAGCCTCCCTAAACAGGGCTGCCTTCAGATGTCTTCTAAAAGTCTGGCAGTTGTTTTTCTCTTTGACATCTGCTGGGAGGGCGTCTCACAGGGCAGGTGCCACCACCGAGAAGGCCCTCTGCCTGGTTCCCTGTAACGTGGCTTCTCGCAGGGAGGGAACTGCCAGAAGGCCCTCGGCGCTGGACCTCAGTGTCCGGGCAGAACGATGGGGGTGGAGACGCTCCTTCAGGTATACTGGACTGAGGCCGTTTAGGGCTTCAAAGGTTAACACCAACACTTTGAATTGTGCTTGGAAACGTACTGGGGGCAGCCGGAGCAGGATGTCCCATGGTATGCCCCGCGGAGGACCTTAAGGTCCACAAATGACAACACTTTGGAGGTCCCAAGTCGCAAGGTGGTTAGATTGGTCTCAACTAGGGCCAGGGCCTTTTCAGTACTGGCCCCGACTTGGTGGAACACTCTGTCCCAAGAGACCAGGGCCCTGCGGGACTTGACATCTTTCCGCAGGGCCTGCAAGACAGAGCTGTTCCACCAGGCCTTTGGCCAACGCACAGTCTGACCCCTTCCTTTGTTAATCCTCATAGAACTCTAGCCCAATGGTTGCCATTAATTTGATTCTGAATTGATTTTAGAATGAATTGATTTCAGAATGTATTTCAATTAATTGACTGTGATTTTATGTAAACTGTGCTGTTTTTACTGTTGTTAGCCGCTCTGAGCCTGGCTTTGGCTGGGGAGGGTGGGATATAGAAATTCCTCCAACTGTGGCAACTAAGCATCACCATCCTGGCTAGTAGCCATCAATCGGCTTCTCCTCCTCTGTGAATTTCCCAATCTGCTTTGGAAAGCATCAAAGTTGGTGGCCTGTGGCAGGGAGTTCCATAGTTTCTTTCCATCTGCCCTGAACCTTCCAACATTCAGCTTCACTGAACGCCCAGAGTTCTAGTGTTAGGAAAGGAGGGGAAAACCTCTTTCTGTCCTGCCATAGCTCGATTGGTAAAGCACGAGGCTCCTAATCTTAGAGTCACGGGTTCAAGTCCTGCGTTGGGCAAAAGATTCCTGCATTGCAGGGGGGTTGGACTAGTTGACCCTCAGGATCCCGCCCACCTCTACAGTTATAGGATTCGATTATTCTATCCGCTTTCACCATGGCAGGCCCAGTTTTGCAGACATCTGTCATGTCAGGAGAACAGGATGTTGTGCTAGTTTTCTCCACAATAAAGCTGTTCGTTTCTCACCTGGAGGATGTCCGGCTAAGACCTCTGAGAAATGCAAACACGTGCAGAGCTTAAGCACACTTTCCATGCACCGTTCATGCTTTAAGCCTCTGTGTCTGAGAACCCTATTTTTGCCCCAGAGGTTTCCCCGTGAAATTGTGCTCTTTGCTACTGAACCAGAGTAAACAGCTATCCACCCGAATTGCCGCTTGTTGTGCTTCAGCGGCGAAAAACAGTGCTTGGATCTGTGCAAAATGGATATGCCTTTTAAGATGGTTTAAAGAAAAATATCTCCCTCTCGCTCTCAATCTCCTCTTGAGTTAGGTTGGCCACAGCCCTCTTACATTTCGGACAGGTCTGTCCAGTTAGGGCTGGGGGGAAATCCCTTCCTGTAAAGCCAGCGGTTCTCAACCTGTGGGTCCCCAGATGTTGTTGGACTACAACTCCCATCATCCCTGACCACTGGTTATGCTGGCTAGGCATGATGGGAGTTGTAGTCCAACAACATCTGGGGACCCACAGGTTGAGAAACACTGAGGAACCCTGGAGAGATGCTGGAGAGACACAGACAAGACAGCATCTCCTTCACTTCCTCTTTAAATCAGCCGTCTGTTCGCTAGCACCTTGCTTTCTCTCCTGCGCAATAGTCCAGCGAGAGAGCCCCAAGCGGGAGGTTCCAGGTTTGATCCCCAGCATCTAAGCCTGAAACCCTGCAAAGCCTCCGCTGGCCCGTGTAGGTAATATTGAGCTAGGTAGAGCAAGGGTCTCTTGGTTCAAGGCAGCTTCTGATATTCCTGTGTACCAGCAGCATTTTGCAGGCCTCGAAAGCCTTTATTTTCTGACCACGGCTCTTCCACATGGAAGCATATTTCTTCCGAATACGTTATCTGCTCTGCTTCGTCAGAGCTCTGTTTTGGCGTTTTCTTTCTTTTTATTTCACAGTATTCAATACGATCATCTTAATTGTCATTGTCCCATACAGAACAACGAAATTGAAAAAAATCTACATCAGACATTCAAAAACCAACAAGCCTGCTATCCCAGCTATCCCAGCCTGGTTAGCCCCCTAAAAACTCCGATACCCCATTTTAAAATACAATATACTCCCATAGAGACTACCTTAAAGGTAAAGGGATCCCTGACCATTAGGTCCAGTCGTGACCAACTCTGGGGTTGCGACGCTCATCTCGCTTTACTGGCCAAGGGAGCCAGCGTACAGCTTCCGGGTCAGTGGCCAGCAGGACTAAGCCGCTTCTGGCGAACCAGAGCAGCTCACGGAAACGCCGTTTACCTTCCTGCCGGAGCGGTACCTATTTATCTACTTGCACTTCGTGCTTTTGAACTGCTAGGTTGGCAGGAGCAGGGACCGAGCAGCGGGAGCTCACCCCATCACGGGGTTCGAACCGCCGACCTTCTGATCAGCGAGTCCTAGGCTCTGTGGTTTAACCCACAGCGCCACCCGCGTCCCTGGAGACTACCTTACACTGCGTTTAAAACCAAAACTGCATTTGGATTATTCTCTGCTATTTCCTCCTAATGTATTATTATTATTATTATTATTATTATTATTATTATTATTATTCTCGGCATCATCATCATCATCACCTGGGTGCAAAGGTGTGGACAATTCCAAATAAACAAACCACTCCCTGTTCTTTTAGGTAGAGTGTGGGATGTCCACTCCTCAGATTTTGAGTCATTATCCTCTCTTGACTCCTTGAGAGTTTTGCCTAGGAGGCTGGAAGGCAGGGGTGTGTTGTTGTTGTTTGTTGTTTGTTGTTTGTTGTCACACACCTCTTTGCCCTGCCCTTTGACACCTGAGATAGACATTTACAGGATCCACCCTAGTCCTTCAACTGCTTTCAATACAGTGGTACCTCGGAAGTCGAACGGAATCCGTTCCGGAAGTCCGTTCTACTTCTAAAACGTTTGGAAACCAAGGCGCAGCTTCCGATTGGCTGCAGGAAGCTCCTACAGCCAATCGGAAGCTGCAGAACCCTTATTGGACATTTGGCTTCCGAAAATAGTTCACAAACTGGAACACTCACTTCCAGGTTTACGGCATCCGGGAGCCAAAACGTTCGACTCGCAAGGCGTTTGGGATCCAAAATATGACTGTATTGAATTTTAAATTGCTGTAACCTGCCCTGCAGTCTGGTGGAGAAGGGTAGGCAAGAAATCGTGATAATGGTGATTATGATATTAATATTAATAATAATAATATCAACAAAAACTGAAATAACTAATATTGATGAATTGTTAATAATATCTTACAATCACTAGTAATTAATAATCATTTACTATTAATGATAATAAAAACAGATAATAATAACTAGTAATATTTATTATTACTGTTTGTAAGAGCAATAACGTTTCATAGAGGTTGCAGATCAGAATGGATGGGTCTGTCAGTTCCTCCTTTCCCCAGTCCTAAGTTCAGTTCGTCACACACTTGCGTGTGCCCACATTAGTTTTGTTTCTTAAGCCCTCTCGAAAATTCACCAGCGTTTTTGTGCATATTTTTTGCACGCAAAAAAAAATAATCAGCACACTTTTTGACACGCAATTTCTGCCGACGTGTTTTTGTAGACTCCTCTGGCATGCACTTTGTGGACACTTCCCCCGCCCGCCCGCCCCCCCCAAAAAAGTACGCATTTATTCACTTTTTGGGGTTGGCTGGTTTGTTGTACAGCTGCATTGCAAAATTCAGAGAAGGGCAATGTCAAACGATAGTTGTGTTCCTGTACTGTCTTGGGACGCATCATGCGGGAAGCAAAGACCAAATTCCTCCCCTGTGCCAAGTTAGGAATAGCAAAGTATATGTCCTTCTATATGACATTTGTTAGCTCTGGTCTAAATGAATTATTATTATTATTATTATTATTATTATTATTATTACGATGATGATGATGACGACGACTTACATTTGTATTCCACCTCTCCTTCAAAGGAGCTCACTGTGGCTTACATACTTCTCTATTTTATCCTGTGGAACTCCCTCCCACCAGATGTCAAAGAGAAAAATAACTACCAAACTTTTAGAAGACATCTAAAGGCAGCCCTGTTTAGGGAAGCTTTGAATGTTTAATAGGTTATTGTATTTTAGTGTTTTGTTGGAAGCCGCCCAGAGTGGCTGGGGAAACCCAGCCAGATGAGTGGGGTATAAATAATAAATTATTATTATTATTATTTGCACAACTGCGAGGGAGGCTGAGCTGAGAGAGGCAGTGTCTGCCCAAGCAAACACCCTGTAGCCTACTGGGGCTTCGAACCCTGTTCTCCCCCAGGTCCTAGTCTTCATTTAATTCCCACAACCCTGCGAGATTGGTTGGCTGAGGTCACTCAGTGAGCTTCAGGGCCAAGTGGAGATTCGAACCCTGCTCTCCCGGGTCCTAGCCCAACACTCTAACCACTAAGCCACACTGGCTCTGGAACGGGAGCAAAGTCTTTGCAGATGCCCTTCAGGGGCACGTCTGCAGCAGAGGAAGTAGCCGTCGATTCCGTCCGAACGCTGATTACTTGGGGGTCTGTTTGTTTGTGCAAAAAGAGTCGGGGCTGGCTCTGTTTATTTGGGGGAGAATTATGCTCTAGCCACCCACAAGCGGTTGACAACAGGGGCTCAACTGCACCTCGTCCCAACGGAGGGGAAATCCACCCGGCGGCAAAAGAGCAGAAATTATCAAGGTGAAGACTTACCGCCGCTCCCAGTCCAAGCTTGGGGGAAAACTTGCAGGAAGAGAACAGCAAGGAGCATCTTGGAATGGCAGAAGACAGGTGGATGAGGATTTAAAAAAATAAATAAATAGATGGATGTTCTCTGGTCCAAAAAATAATAATAATTGCCTTTTTATGCTTCCTTCCACTGTGGCTTCTCAGTCTGCGCAAAGGTATACTCAGTTTCCCGAAACAGATTGGGTTCAGATGGATGTCCTGGTCACCACAAATGAGATCTGCCTTATTTTGCCTTTTTACCTTGTCCTCTCCCAGGGAGTCATCGGAGCCACTTTGCCAACCACCCAAAAAAAAAACCTGGACTTTTTTTATTTTGTTTTTAAGGTAGCTCTGAGCGACAGAGGGAGTTTGCCCGGCGCCCGAGGTCCCTGCTCCTTAAATACGTCGTCCACAAAAGTCTGTGGAGTCCCAACGGTGTTTGGACAAGGCGAGAGAGAGAGAGAGAGAAAGGGGACGAGGGAAGGGGGGGCTGGAATTTGGCCGCTGTTCAGGCCTGTGCCAGCCAAGTCCCTCTGCAAGAGGCCGGCTGCTTTGATCCGTTGGTCCTAACAGAGGAGACGGGCTGGAGTGGGGGACGTGGGAAAGGGACGGTTCTGGCGGTGATTATAAAATGGCAAAAGAGGGTCTGAGGCCAGGGACTCGTTTGCCTGCCCCAGGAGCCTGTTAGGACGCCTGTGATGTAACAGTGAAGGTAAGGGTTCCACTGACCATACACAGAATGCCCTGGAGCGCAAAGGTTCCAGTTGTCACCGTCTCCCTTGTCCCTGAGATATCGGGCACCCTCTATTGAAAAGGTCAGTACCCTACAGAGCCCTGACTCTGTGCCTCAGCCGTCTGAGTTAAAGAGCAGAGTCACTCCGCCTAGAGGAAATTGGCCAGTTACTATCTGCCACGTGGCGTTACGGTCGAGGGTCCGAGGGTCGGGGTTTGGCGGTGGTAGAAAGCAACTGATTTGCATGCAGAAAGCCCAAGCCTGATGGAGCCCAGGGTCTGATTTGGTGAAAAGCATCTTCCTACCTTCTTCTCAAGGGATGTGGGTGGCGCTGTGGGTTAAACCACAGAGCCTAGGACTTGCCGATCAGAAGGTAGGCAGTTCAAATCCCCGTGACGAGGTAAGCTCCCGTTGCTCAGTCCCTGCTCCTGCCAACCTAGCAGTTCGAAAGCACGTCAAAGGGCAAGTAGATAAATAGGTACCACTCCGGCGGGAAGGTAAACGGCGTTTCCGTGCGCTTCTCTGGTTCGCCAGAAGCGGCTTAGTCCTGCTGGCCACATGACCCAGAAGTTGTATGCCAACTCCCTCGGCCTATAGAGCAAGATGAGTGCGCAACCCCAGAGTCGGTCACGACTGGACCTAATGGTCAGGGGTCCCTTTACCTTTTTACCTTCTTTTCAAATCAAAACCATGAGGACTAGACTCTTACTTTTGCAGGAAGACGTCGAGAGAGCACCTGCTCTGCATGCAGAAGGGCTCAGGTTCAATCGCCAGCAGCCTCTCCTGATAGGGCAGGGAGAGCCTCTGCTGCCAGTCAGTGCTGGTAATGCCAGATGCTAGATGGAACAATTGGTCCCGGACACATTGTTGTTGTCAGCCAACAGCTTCCTGCATTCTTACACAACGCAGAACTAAAACCCGGACTCTGGCAAAGTGGCGTCTGGTCCACAAAAGCTTATGGATGCTCAAATGTGCTTGCTTTTTTCTTTTAAGGCGTCTGTTGTACCACGAGGCTCTTTCTCGATTTGGATCTCCAGAGGCCTGGAAGGCAGCGAAGATGACCAAAGAAGAACGCAATGTGGAGGCCAGCCAAAAACAGAGGCTGTGGGAGACTTCTCAAAGCTGTTTGTCGGCCTCGGCAATGTGTCCAGGACGGATGTCAGCCCCTTCCGGACCTCTGCGAGGAGCATCAGTCTTCAAAATGAATATCTGAAGGGAGCGTAAGGAGGATTAAGGTGGCGAGCACTGCGCTCCGACACAGATGCTTTTATTTATTTTCAAGTTTAACTGCTTTCGCAGTTGGGGTTGCAAATATCGACGTTTGCAAACCACCCGAAATACTTAGCTACATGGGTGGTAAACAAACAAACAAACGTGCTCCTTCGTGGGGCTAAACTGTGGAACTCCCTGCTGCAGGAAATCATCAAATTAGATGGCTTTAAAAAAGGGGAATCGGACAAATTTGGAGAGGGTAAGGCAATCAGTGGCTGCTTAGCTTGAGAGGGATTTACTCTGCCCAAGTAAGCATGCACAAGATTGCAACCCTTAAGCGTTTTTAAATTCCACTGATTTCAGTGTTGACTCCTAAAGAAATATTTCCATTCCTTTGAAGGCTTCCAGACTGGTGTCCATTTATGAGGTGGGGGGCTTCCCATGTGTGAAAATAATTTTGTAGCAACCACGTGCCACCTTGCTTGCATCGAAACTCCAGCTTCCCCCCTTTCTTTTTGCATTTAATCTGGGTTTTACCCTTTCTGGGGGCGATCCAGTAATCCCTTTCTGGAAGGCCATTGCTGCCCTCATGATCAGAGGCAGCCTTGCTGTGAATATTAGTTGAGAGTTAGCAACAGCAGGAGAGGGCAGTTCGACGCCTCGCCCTTCTTGTGGCCTTCATAAGAACGTAAGGACTCCCCTGCAGATGGATCAGGCCAAAGGGGTGTGGGAAATTGCAGTTAAACATAATTTGCAAGCATAGAGCTAGTTAAGGCACGAAAGGGTTAAGACCACAGAGCTGCACTGCTAGACTCAGTTAGGTCACACACCCCTCGTCTCCAGTGAGGGAGGAAGTGAATCTCCTTTCCTTATTCTTCTTTGTGCCATGTAACATACCAGGAAGGACATGTCTGATCTTGAAACTATCTTTCTGTATTTTGTACCCAAGAGTATTCTACCTGTGTTCTCCTTGCTGCCACGTGGAATGATACATGAACCAGACCTTTGGATTTTGCAAGTAAAACTTTTAAACTTACTAAGAGTGTGGTCGGTTCATTGCGATGAGGGAAGCACGTAAGCAAGCTAATTGGGGTATATAAAAGCATCTAACAGCCTATTATTCCCCTGTCTGGCATTATGATTGTTTTAAAATCTGCAGGGGGCTGTCTCCCACAGGAGATTGTGCTAAGACCAATCTAGGTGTCCAACCAATTCTTTTATTAATTAGTCATACCTCGGGTTACAGCTGCTTCAGGTTGCGTTTTATCGGGTTGTGGACCGCCGAAACCTGGAAGTACTGGAATGGGTTACTTCCGGGTTTTGGCGGTCACGCATGCGCAAAAGCGCTAATTTGTGCTTTGTGCATGTGCAGAAGCACTGAATCGCAACCTGCGTGTGTGCAGGCGCAGATTGCAAACGCTGCGGGTTGCGAACGTGCATCCTGCACGGATCACATTCACAACCCGAGCATCCACTGTACTCCACACGGGTGAGCTAAATATATTTACCTCCATCGGAGGCCCACCTAATAATAATAATAATAATAATAATAATAATAATAATAATAATAATAATTTATTATTTGTACCCCGTCCATCTGGCTGGGTTTCCCCAGCCACTCTGGGCGGCTTCCACAGAGACCAAAAATACACTAAAATGTCACACATTTAAAACTTCCCCGAACACGGCTGCCTTAAGATGTCTTCTGAATGTCAGGTAGTTGTTTATCGCTTTGACATCTGATGGGAGGGCGTTCCACAGGGCGGGCGCCACTACCGAGAAGGCCCTCTGCCTGGTTCCCTGTAGCTTTGCTTCTCGCAATGAGGGAACCGCCAGAAGGCCCTCGGAGCTGGACCTCAGTGTCCGGGCAGAATGATGGGGGTGGAGACGCTCCTTCAGGTATACTGGACCGAGGCTGTTTAGGGCTTTCAAGGTCAGCACCAACACTTTGAATTGTGCTCGGAAACGTACTGGGAGCCAATGTAGGTCTTTCAAGACCGGTGTTATGTGGTCTCGGCAGCCGCCCCCAATCACCAGTCTAGCTGCCGCATTCTGGATTAGTTGTAGTTTCTGGGTCACCTTCAAAGGGAGCCCCACATAGAGCACATTGCAGTAGTCCAAGCGGGAGATAACTAGAGCATGCACCTAGTTCAGGATCCTCTTCTCACAGTGACCAACCTGTGGGAAACTCTTGAGCAAGATTTCAGCACAAAAGCGGCACTCTCCACCAACTGGGATTCAGAAGCATTTCCTTAAGAAAGGTCATTGTGGCTGATAGCCATCGATAGTCCTTTCCGCACACAGAGAGATTCACACAGAGCCGCACAAGGTGAGCTCTTCCGAGGTGGCAGATTCACCAGCTCTCAAAAATAAATGTGTGGACCTCCTAAAGTGTAGGAATCACGCCAGGCTCTGCTGCCCATGAGGCATGTTGGCATGGCCACAGCGGCTGGATCCTGGACACGTCATGTTGTAACATTAGCCATGGCCTCTTCAGGATTTGAACTGTACCCTTGTCAAGTCAGCTCCCTGACAGACCAAACATTGCGGGCCGGAGTCCTGCTCTATTCATAGGCCTGCTCTTCACCGCTGCAAACGGAGTCACGGTCACAGTGCCCTGATTTCTCCACCGCAAGCAGTTTGCTTACCTTCCGTTAGGTTTCACCTGCATCCTGCTACCGCCTCCCCTTTCAACAATGCGATGTCAATATAAACTCTTTATACAATCTATACAAGACATTGAACAATATGAAATATATGAAATAGGCACTCTCTGCAAAACCAAATACAGTGGTACCTCGGGTTAAGTACTTAATTTGTTCCGGAGGTCCATTCTTAACCTGAAACTGTTCTTAACCTGAAGCACCACTTTAGCTAATGGGGCCTCCTGCTGCTGCCGCGCCGCCGGAGCATGATATCTGTTCTTATCCTGAAGCAAAGTTCTTAACCTGAAGCACTATTTCTGGGTTAGCGGAGTCTGTAACCTGAAGTGTATGTAACCTAAAGCGTATGTAACACGAGGTACCACTGTAAACAAAACCAAATAAACAGAAATCTTCTAACTCTTTGAAAGCCACAAAATGTGCACTCTTGATGGGTTCTCTTGAAAACCTAGAACCAAATAAACATAAGTCTTATAAGTCTCTGAAAGTCTGTGTGGGCTATGCAGGTCTCTGAGAGAAGCAATGGGTCAGATTCTTATCTGGTGAAAACAAGCCGTAAAGCTTTGTTTTATGACGTCCAACGCTGTCAAAGTGGTCCGCAAGCAGACGTAGTGAACAGTGATTCCGGATATCCCCACTGTTTCGTGGAATTCTTCTTCAGCACAGCAGAAGGATACAGGAATGCCTCATAGCAATTGCTGTTATTGTTAAGTTGTGGGCGAACATATCAGACGACACAGCGACTCTTCAAACAGCTCTTGTTTATTCACAGGCCAGGACAGAAATGAACTGAAGGGCTCGGCCAGCCTGCTTATATAGAGCTCCAGTACAACGTAACTGTAACAACTTTCTAAAATTATCCAATCACTGAACGTCACTTTTGATCCCTTATTTGCATAACTATCTACAGTATCCCCCTGCTGGCCCAGGGTGAGAACTTCAGTAAATAACAGTTATACAGTTCCATTCACCATATAGCTGGGTTTATGAAGCATTTCTGTAGATTCTAGGTTTGCAAGAGAATCCATCAAGAGTGCATATTTTGTGACTTTCAGAGATTTAGAAGATTTCTGTTTATTTGGTTTTGCAGAGAGTGCAAATTTCATATATTTCATATTGTTCAATGTTCTGTGTAGATTGTATAAAGAGTTCATATTGACATCGCATTGTTGAACTTGGTCATCGTGTCGCCTTTGGATATTACTGATATTTGTTTGCAACATAGGGGTTTGATCTATGTCGGAACGGCAGGGAGGGGAGAGTTTTAGTGGGACGAGAGCCGGTGTGGTGTAGTGTGTTCGAGTGCCGGGCTAGGACCTGGGTTCAAGTCCTCCCAATCGGCCATGAAGCTCTCCCTGGGTGTGGCCTTGGAGACCAGTCGTTGCCTCTCAGCCTGACCCACCTCACAGGGTTGTTGTGGCGACCAGGGAGCTCTCCAGACCACCTGGAGCTCTCCAGAGAAAAAAGTGGGGTTTGAATGCAGTTAACAACAACCACCTTTCGGCTGCGTCTAGGCACGGGCAAATCTGTCAGTTCCGTTTTCTCTCAAAATCTCTTTTTAATTATTGACTTCAATTCTCCACATGACCAAATTAGTTTGCGATTTTATTAATCGTTAAAAATAATAAAATTTATTAGCATTTCAGTACCAATGCCTGCACACACAAACACGTGCTTGCAATTTTACCAACTTTTTTTGCAAAGTAATGCTGCCTAATATCGTTCAGTTCCTGTATGTCGCTTTCCCTAAAAATTGCATTTTAGGCGCACTCGAACCTAGATTGCATTGTTCATATTGCACAGGCCTTTTTTCTCTTTTTAACCGGTCAGTATTTAATGAATGTTTTTATGGGTGCCGTTCTTAAAATTTGTAACATGTGGGACTCAGCTCACCCACCTAGAAATATACTTTGACCTTCCTGTTCCTCCATCCCCATCCCCCATCCCCAAAAAAATAATTCTGGTGCTGCCCCTACCGGCCTTCCCTTCCCCTGCTTTCTCCCCATGTCGATTTTCTAAATTGCAATTCCCTTGGGGCAGAGACCTCTCTCGCCTCCAAATGTCACACCAACTCATAGGAGTGGGGATTAAAAGTATCAGAAATACAGTGGTGCCTCGCAAGACGAAAAGAATCCGTTCCGCGATTCTCTTCGTCTAGCGGTTTTTTCGTCTTGCGAAGCAACCCCATTAGCGGCTAAGTGGATTAGCGCTATTAGCGATTTAGCGCTATTAGCGGCTTAGCGGGCTTAGCAGCTAAGCTGTTAAAAGGCTATTAACGGCTTAGCGGCTTTGAAAAAGGGGGGGGAAGCGGGGAGGGAAATGGCGAGACTTGCAAGACGTTTTCGTCTTGCAAAGCAAGCCCATAGGGAAATTCGTCTTGCGAAGCGCCTCCGAAACGGAAAACCCTTTCGTCTTGCGGGTTTGTCGTCTTGCGAGGCATTCGTCTTGCGGGGCACCACTGTAACAGGAGAGGGAAAATTGTCATCCTTTGCCCTAAAAAGCTCCCAGTAATTATTGGCTGGCTATGATCCCTCTCTCTGGTGAGAGTAAATGGTACTACTCTTTTGTGTATACCTCCTTATCTGATGAAGTGGAGCCAGAGGCCTTTGAGGCGATGAAACTCAGCACTAGCTCTGCACACCATCTACCTCTTTCCGAGTGACGGAAAAAGAGGTTCACCATGAACAGGAAAAATAAGCCGGTCCAGAAACGGCAAAGACTAGCTCTACGTAAAAGATAATTTGAAAAAACCAGAGTCTTTCTTGTTGGGAAATGGTGGGAGAGGATATTGATAAGAATGCTCTGAAATTGTTCCTATATGCAACAACAGCATCAAGGTTATTGCTGGCCCAGGTTCGGAAACAGCAACAACTGCCAGCAGTAGAAGAGTGGCAGCAGAAGGTTATGGAATACGCAGAAATAGCCAAACTAACGGGGGAAATTCGACAACAGGGCAACGAAACGTTTCAAAAAGAATGGGGAATAAATATGTCATATATAGGAAAGGTAAGGTGAAATAGTGAAAACAGTAGAAATAAACCTCATCATGGGAAAATACAAAGAATATTACTGGTCAATAATAACAATAAGAAGTAAAATGTGACCAGTGTAACTAACAGTATTTGTAAATGAATATAGACAGACAACAAGAAACGTATATAGAGAAAGATTTATTTGTTTACAGGCATTTTATGGACAAATGTGGAAGAAGAAGAACAATATACAAAATGGATAAAGACAATGTGAAAAATTTAGAGACGATATAAAAAAGCCAGAAGAAGGAAGGAGGGAAGTCAGCTCCTAGGAGCAAGTATAAATGTAAAATGTAATGTAATATGTGTGTGTATACAGTGGTACCTCAGGTTAAGTACTT